AATACACGTTTGCCTTACTTTTTCTTGAATGGCAGAAGTCAGTGAAGAACTTCACTAGAAAGAACAAATATATTTTCAAGCATTGTTCTTTTTTTTAAAAAAATAATAAACTTTCAGTAAAGGGTAGCTTCCACTGCAGTATACATGTGCCCTCTAGTGCACTGCTATGTAAACAGCAGTGGTTTCTCAGAAATTATCTTGCCAATGCCTTCTGCATTTGTCTTGAGTTTAGCACATTGCTTCCTTTGTGAGCAAGGCAAGCATGTTTAAAGTACATTACTCCCCCCCCCCCCAATTGCTGGGAACTGTAGTGTGTTAAAGGTGCTGAAAACTAATTCTGTGATGGGTGAACAGAGTTTTGGGGTGGTGGGGGTGATTTAAATGTTTGGTGTGCATGTGACCTAGGTGAAGGTCGACATGTCTTGCAATTGCACATTTTAAAAAGGTTTGTTTCTTATGGCTTGTGAGGATGACACCATGATTTAACCGTATTAAAAATATTACTGACATAGTAGCTAAAAAACAAAACCAAGCTATTAGTAATAGTTTCTTCTGCACATTCAATGGGCAAGATGCTTATTTACTTTTGCAGTGCTTTTGTAACATAAGATGCTATGCATAATCTTCAGCAGCAGCGCTGAGGCTGGGACAGCAATTTGCTGAAGACCAGGGTCAGTGTGGCTGAAATTTAGAATCACAAAATTGTAGAGTTGGAAGGGACGAGGGTCATCTACTCCAACTGCTTGCAATGCAGGAATCTTTTGCCCAACATGGGGCTCAAACCCATGACCTTGAGATTTAAGAGTCCCACCGTCGTGCTGACTCTGTGTATATATACAAGCAAAAAATATAAAACACCTAAAGGTATTTGATTTACACTTTTCACCATATATTGGAATCAATAACAAGCTTCATCCATAGGCCTTTAGTCAGTATCCCCAACCTACTAGGCCAGATCCAGAACAGACCCACCCTCAAGCGGGGTGGACAGAGCAGTCTTTAGCCAGGAGCGCAAGGGGTGCAGGGCACCTGGGCGCCAAATTCTGGGGGGCACCAGGTGCCCACCGCTAAAGTCGCCCAAGCTCTTAACTAGCTACCTGTTGTGAAATAATAATTTTGATCAAGATAGAAAAACAAAATACATATATACCTAGGTCTTACCGAAATGTATACCTACTATTTCACTAAAGGACTTTCAACTTTGTGTGCTCATTTACCAAAGACGCGACACGCCAGCGGCGGCGCTTGTCATTCACAACAGTGGCACTTGTCAGACTTGGGGGCGCTGGGCAGATCTTTGCACCCTGATGGCGCATATGCTAAAGACTCCCCTGGGGGTGAGGGGGCCGTTTTTCACAGGTAAGCGGTCACTCAGCTGTTGTCATATGTCACAAAGGAAATGCACTCCAACTGCCCTGCCGATTCCTCCATTCTAGCCCTTTCACATTAACCTTGTGCTACTTTCCCTGTCAAAATCAACGCTTGTGTGAGGGGAGAAACTACTCTCAGCTCAATCCCAGCAGGAGTTTTATTTGGGGCCAAATTTAGAAGGTGCAGAATAATAATAATAATAATAATAATAATAGTAGTAGTAGTAGTAGTAGTAGTAGTAGTAGTAATAATAATAATAATAATAATAATAATAATAATAATAATAATTTATTATTTATACCCCGCCCATCTGGCTGGGCCTCCCCAGCCACTCTGGGCGGCTTCCATAGAAACCAAAAATACAGTAAAATATCACACGTTAAAAACTTCCCTGAACAGGGCTGCCTTAAGATGTCTTCTGAATGTCAGGTAGTTGTTTATCGCTCTGACATCTGCTCGAAGGGCGGGCGCCACTACCGAGAAGGCCCTCTGCCTGGTTCCCTGTAGCTTTGCTTCTCGCAATGAGGGAACCGCCAGAAGGCCCTCGGCGCTGGACCTCAGTGTCCGGGCAGAATGAGGGGGGTGGAGACGCTCCTTCAGGTATACTGGACCGAGGCCGTTTAGGGCTTTAAAGGTCAGCACCAACACTTTGAATTGTGCTTGGAAACGTACTGGGAGCCAATGTAGGTCTTTCAAGACCGGTGTTATATGGTCTCGGCGGCCGCCCCCAGTCACCAGTCTAGCTGCCGCATTCTGGATTACTTGTAGTTTCCGGGTCACCTTCAAAGGTAGCCCCACGTAGAATGCAAGTTCTGCTTACAGAGGGACAAGTGGATGCACACTGTAAGATTCCCAACTGTTCCTCTGCAGCCACAGCTGTACCTGCCCCACATACGGCATCGGGGAAGAGGCAAGTGAGCAGGGTTGGGGGGGGGAACCCCGGCAAGCCTAATTAGTCCCGCTAGCAAGAAACAACATCATTAAAAGGCCCCAGACCTGGGCCATTGGCAAGGGACAGGTTTCTTTGCCCTACAAAGGAAGATTCATTCTACGTTCTGGTCAGAGACAGAGTTGCATTGACCCAGTGTCAGCCGAGCAGATAGCAGAGCACTGGCTCCTGCTATATTAGACTTTTGCCTGGAATCATTCAGCCTCCGTTCTGATCCTGTCTTGTTTCTTCAGCCACACAGTCCAACTTTAAGGAGAGTCTAGACAAACAAACTTCACAGCTTAATTGCTTCGGCTGACTTTTGCATTCATCTCTCCGCACCACCGACATCACCCACCCCCACCTACAGCATACCTTTCAGAATTCCAACATGGCCAGCACCCTTCAGCAACAAATAAGGACAGGGATTAAATTCATGCTGTGACAATAAAATTCAGACCACAACGTACATTTAAACTGCTTTTATGCTTATCAAACTATCTTTAAGGTTCTCCTGGCTGCACATTTCAACCATAAAATGCTAGGAATTTGTGTGCACTATTAGCACAAAAGCAAAAATAGCCCCAGGTGGATGTGAAGCACAGCCTATGTTTACAGTCCCTGTAACAAGTCCAGCCTGCATTTAGTTTGCAATTAAAGCAAGCTAGGCATGTTTCACTTTGCAGCAGGGCTAACCTTTTCTTCCATTCTCCCCGTTTATCGTCTCCATCTACACTCATAGATGCACCATGCTGCAAATTGCTTCATATAATTCATGCTGTAAAAAAAAGTCCCTTTCTTCTAACGTGGCTTCATATTTCTAAGGAATATTTCACTTCTAAGAACAGTGAATCCTTAAAGACATCACTTACTGATCTTTTCCCCTTAGTGAGTGTCATCTTTTGACATTTCATTCATAATGTACTTAAAAGCTTTAATTAACAGAGTTTGAAAGTTGATACTATCTTATCTTTTCCTGAATAGACAGGTCTAAAAGCACTAACGCAAGATGAATGATTCCCACATTTTATAGCTGAAGCTGGGAAACTAAAAACCATTCTAATGATAGCTGTAAAATGATATCAAGGGAGCTTCTGAGATCACTACCCTCCCCCTTTTTTCATGAGTACCTGACTAGTAATAACCAGCAGGGGGAATAAAACACAGTGCCTTCCATTGGCATAACAGTGTAGAAGGCATATACTCTTTCCTGTAACTTTATTATAGCGAACACAATTGTTTCGCTGTTAAATTTAAATAATGCGCTAAAGTGAAATGTAACAGCGTCGCACGACATATCACTCCTCTTGGCCTTTAAAAAAAATATGTAGTTGCGGAAAAAATGCTAAGTACCAGAAAAATACTTAGCTATGCAATATGCTAGCTGCTTCATGATCTCTTCCAGGATAAATAATGCTAAAAAGAGTAAAATCTGTCTTTGCTGGGGGGGGGTTGTTAAGCCTTATAAACAAGATGGAGAAAAGTCAGGTTACTAAGCAGCTCTGATGAATTCCTCAGACACACAGACTGCGTAAAAGGAAAATTGCCATATTGTTAAGGATGCCTTGCTCTCAAAACTAACAATTCAACCTGGTTCATGGGGATCCTAACACAAATTCTGAAATTCACCCTCCCACACGAATTCAGGAGTTCTGCTCATCTTCCAAGTCCCTTCTTGGTGTCTTGCTTCTAATGGAGGTTTGGCTGGTGGGGATAAAAAGGCCTCTTTTTATCATGGTCTCCCCACAGGCAGGTGCAGCTGACCCCCACCCCTTTGTCCACTTTTAAAACTGTCTTGTTCCTCCCCACCCCCATTAATGGTAACTCTTAGGATTAACTCTTATGGGTTTGTATTTCCCCCCACCTCCCTTCTATTTTACTAAGCTCCCTTCAGTGGCTTTTAAATTATTTTACTGTGGTACTGTTCTACTCAAATTGTTGCAAGCTGCCTTGTGTCTGCTTTGCCAAGAAAGTGGGGAATACTAAGTATTATAATTTAAGTAAATAAATAAGCAAGCTGGTGGCTTTTGCCAATAATAATAATAATAATAATAATAAATTTTATTTATATCCCGCCCTCCCCAGCCTTAGCCGGGCTCAGGGCGGCTAACAACAATAAAACGGTACAAAAGTACAACATAAACAACACTCTAAAATCATTCATTCTAAAATTAATTAATTCAAGCCACTGGCAGCCATTGGGCCAGAGCTCCGCGAAGATTGCCGAAGGAGGGAGTCAGGCTGTGCCCTTGCCAAAGGCCTGGTGGAACAGCTCTGTCTTGCAGGCCCTGCGGAAAGATGTCAAGTCCCGCAGGGCCCTGGTCTCTTGTGACAGAGTGTTCCACCAGATCGGAGCCACAGCCGAAAAGGTCCTGGCTCTCGTTGAGGCCAGCCTAACTTCTCTGTGGCCTGGGACCTTCAAGATGTTTTTATTTGAAGACCGTAAGTTTCTCTGTGGGGCATACCAGGAGAAATACCAGGAGAAAATAAATAAATAATTTATTATTTATACCCAGCCCATCTGGCTGAGTTGCCCCAGTCACTCCGGGCAGCTTCCAACACATATAAAAACATAATAAAACATCAAACATTAAAAAAACCTCTTGATACAGGGCTGCCTTCAGATGTCTTCTAAGAGTTGCAATGTTATTTATCTCCTTGACATCTGATGGGAGGGCATTCCACAGAGCAGGCGCCACTACCAAGAAGGCCCTCTGCCTGGTTCCCTGTAACCTCACTTCTCGCAGGGAGGGAACCGCCAGAAGGCCCTCGGAGCCGGATCACTACATCCCGGCTGAACAATGTGGTTGGAGATGCTCCTTCAGGTATACAGGGTCAAGGCTGTTTAGGGTTTTAATGGTCAGCACCAACACTTTGAATTGTGCTCAGAAACATACTGGGAGCCAGTACAGATCCTTTAGGACTGGTGTTATATGGCCCACTGCACACCAGGTATTCGATTCTGTGATGCAACTCTGTTCCAGGGAGGTCAGATTGTGGTGGAATGTAAATGCTGAAGAATCTCCACTGACATTTGCAAGATCTTTAGGTCTTCTGTACGCAACGCCTCAACTAAAGTTAGCTGGCTTGCAAGATGCTGGCAATCACTTTTTAACAGAGAAATCTGAAAAGTGAAAAGGTAAAAAGATCATTAATAAAACCCTATTGGACAGAGAGGCCTGGGGGGGGGATTTGCCCCCACCCATGGTCTAAGGTTCCCCACCTATGTGTGATGGAGTGCAGAGAACCAATATTCATGGCTCCTGCACAATTATGCAATTATCCATTGAAAGCTATAACAGCTAAGTTACAGATCATAGATTTAGGATAACATTCTTGATAGAAATCCATTAGCTAGAGGTATGGTGGGCTCTCCCTTGCTGGAAGTGTGCAAGCAGAGGCTAGACAGCCATCTACGAGGGATGTTTGAACTCTGGATTTCTTGTATCAATGAGGAGGAAGATCTACATTGCCAAGAAGGCCCCTTGCAAACTTCATTATTATTATTTGCATTTCCTTATCACTTACTACAAAAATGTCTCAAAGTGCTTAGGATTATAGAAGCACACATGCATTGCTATATATATATATATAATTCTATGATACTGTGTGTATGTGTATATATATATATATATATATACACACACACACACACACACACATATATATATATATGTGTGTGTGTATATATATATTCTATGATACTGTTTTCTATACAAATTGAACCATCTTCATTTCTGAGTGTTAAGCTGGTATGACAGAAATCAGTGTGCGGGATTTTCAGTCTTTTGGGGATGCTATTGCTCTTAAATGCAAGTAGGAAGGGGTTTTTCCCCCCATGTGAGTTTCACCTCCAGCCCTTGTGTTAGGTAAAGGTACCCCTGCCCATACGGGCCAGTCTTGACAGACTCTGGGGTTGTGCGCCCATCTCACTCAAGAGGCCGGGGCCAGCGCTGTCCAGAGACACTTCCGGGTCACGTGGCCAGCGTGACGAAGCTGCATCTGGCGAGCCAGCGCAGCACACGGAAACGCCGTTTACCTTCCCGCCAGTAAGCGGTCCCTATTTATCTACTTGCACCCGGGGGTGCTTTCGAACTGCTAGGTTGGCAGGCGCTGGGACCGAGCAACGGGAGCGCACCCCGCCGTGGGGATTCGAACCGCCGACCTTTCGATTGGCAAGCCCTAGGCACTGAGGCTTTTACCCACAGCGCCACCCGCGTCCCAGCCCTTGTGTTACAGCCAGCTAATTCATTCAAACAGATACCTTCTGAAGGGCATGCTGGGTCTCCTCTGTCAATGACATACATATTTTTGTTGCGAGATCCAAACTCTTCTTTTCATTCCTCTTTGAAATTATATTGCCAAGCAACACTTTCTTCCAGGAAGTACTACAGTCAATAAATGTAAACACATTTTAGCTATTTTGCTTCTGATTCGGCCATCAGACAGCTAAACGTCTGATGGTAACCATGGCATTCAAGAAATGCAACTTTTGCATTAACGGCCATTTTCAGCAAACATTTGCTACTTACAATTGGTCTGCTTCGAGACATAGCAGCTTGAGAGCTGTAAGAAGTCTCCAAGATGGTCCATCCCAGTCAAATGTCAGATTACTAGAGACGAAAAATAACAAATCATTTTTAAAAGAATCTATATCCAACATATTTTATAATAGCAGCCTCATACCCAGCACCACTTGGGAATTCTAAGCATCTATAAAACTTAGTGCAGTTTTGAAAAGTTCAGTCCAGCCTCTTGATTCAAAATAGCAGAATCCAATTGTACCCTAACTGGGAGGAAAACCTGTTCCTTGTCCTCATGCAAAATATGGTTATGGTATGTCCAAAGTGAACAGACAACTTTCCAAAATATGTAGTACATACTGCATACGTACTGTATATGACACACACATTTATTAATATTAGCACAATTTATAAAAGGATTTTACTTGATTATATTTTATCCAATTTTTGTCTAAGGTTTAACCATGGGAGGCACCCACTGATCAAAACATCCTAACCTATCTTCTTTGTTGACCTGAAGTTAGAAGAAGAGAAGAAGAGTTTGGATTTGATATCCCGCCTTTCACTCCCTTTAAGGAGTCTCAAAGCGGCTAACATTCTCCTTTCCCTTCCTCCCCCACAACAAACACTCTGTGAGGTGAGTGGGGCTGAGAGACTTCAGAGAAGTGTGACTGGCCCAAGGTCACCCAGCAGCTGCATGTGGAGGAGCGGAGACGCGAACCCGGTTCCCCAGATTACGAGACTACCGCTCTTAACCACTACACCACACTGGCTCCTTATAAACTAAAATCACAGGAGGGAGGCTATTGCGTCCCCAGATGCATATGCGTACTTAACTCTAAAAAGTTGTTTTCTTGTAAAATGGAAAGTTTCGTATGCCTCTGCTTATCTTCTGGAAGGATATATTTGAGTAAGGTTTCTGAAGAAGAAAAAATGTTTAAAGCAAACAGTGTTATGGTAACAAAGAAGCCTTTTGTGTGTTTCTAGCACTATTAGCACTATTAGCATTTCTGCTGAAAATATTTTAGGAAACAAAGCCAAGAACACATTCTCTCTCACTTGTGGCTGGGTGCTCACATAATTTTAGCATGACTGACTGACTTCACTGGCGGAGGGGGAATCTAGAAGCACACACGTGCTGTGGTTGCTCGACTAGAGGAGGAAAAGCAGGTTTTCCTTTCCCCAAGAATGGTCATGTCCACACCATACATTTAAAGCACTCTTACAAGTCACTTTAACTATTAGGACATTCCTACAAAGAATCCTGGGAGCTGCAGTTTGTTAAAGGATAATTTGAGAAATCCATGACTATTATAAAGAGCCATTTAATGTATGGTGTGGATGTGATCAGTGGGAGGGAGAAGGAAATTGTGTGTGTCTGTGCGTATGCTTGTTTAAAATGTATGTATTTTGATGGAATAGAATATGATCATTTTGTGGAGGGTTTGGCAAGTGTACTTTAAGTTGCCTTGTCTCTGAGACTAAAAGCCTTCCCAACACACACACACACACACACACACACACACACACTAATGACATGACTGAGATACCATTCCATCAGAAAAACTTCAAAGAGATTTGCATAAAGCAATGTTAAAGAAAATACTGATAAAATCAAACTTTAAACACAAGTAGACATAAATAAAATTTATCAGCTGAAGATACAATCTACACTTTTAAAACTAACATGTACAAGAAAATTAAGTGTCTGAGTAGGCTCGACTCTCTCCCCCACCAAAAGAAAAAACCCTATATAAAACAAGTGGCTCCAGCCTAGATGTGGAGAGTTGGAAATGAAAAAAACCAAACCAAAATGCAAAACCCTAGAAAAGAAAAACCAAGGAAAAAGGAAAACCGAAAACAAGCTGGCTATTTAAAAGCACAATAAAAAGGTGGGGAATCTGCCTACGGCTTAGATTTTCCCTGCCAGCCCTAACCAGAGTGTGTGGGGGTTGTTATTATTTAATTGATTTACAATCCAAGTTGAAGCAACAACATTAGCTGCAAAATATAATAGCTGACCGCAAAGAACACACTGCACACAAATACTGAAGTATTAAACAGAGTGTAAAAACCAGCAACTAAAATTTAAAGGACAAACAGATGTCGAGTGGCAGAAAGCTGAGTTTTCTCAACCAATTCCATAGCTAAGCCAAGATGACCATTAGCACTAACAGCAGAGTGCTAGGATAATGTGTGTACCAGGATAATGTCAGCTCTCAACAGCAAAGGATGATGGCATCCCCTTCAGCGATCAAATTCACCTGGCACATTTTGCAGCTGGCTATTGGCCACTTGCAACCAAGTGAAGGTGGCTAGACACCAGGATGATGCCTGACATCTCCACCATCTGGAGGTGCATGCCTGGGGATCCTTGGATCAGTTTTCACACACTAGCAACACATCCTGTGTAATTCTGTTATATTTCATTGGCATAATCAGAATGAATTTCAGGAACAAAAAAGTTGTACTGAAAAATATGGCTTTTGAGCCGTCTGGCCCAAAAATGGCAACTTGGCATTGCATTTTGGCGACTAACCCTGGTTTAAGGAGCCATTTGACACTTAACTTTTTTCGAGTTTCTAACTCTGACCCCCATCATTCCCAGAGTTATAAGCCAGAGGTGGGCAGGCTTTGGAGAGATGTTATACTGCCACTAATAGTTACAAGTAAAGGACAACCTCACTGTGGGCTTATCATTATTCTACTACACCATGCATTGCCCTGGTTGATTTTCAAAGGCAGCTCTGCCCAAGACTTGCAAGATGAACTGAAGTCAGGCAGGTACAGTGCACAGTGGTAGCTGGAACCCTTAAAAAATGGTAGTGAAATTATAAGCTCCACCCACTGAGTGGCAGGTTGGCCCGTCCTAAGCCTCCAGTAAAACTGCATCACCCATCAATGTCAAGATCAAATCTCAAATTTACCTGTCCCAACATGCACACTGCTGTGTGGATTGGAGTTCGCAACAAAACCATATTCGAGAAGCAGGCGCTGATTATCATGTGGGCCATAACAAATAAATACTTCTTTGTATTTCTGACAGCCTGAAAGTGTTCTTATTTCATAACACTTTGTCTTCTCATTAAATGCAGCTTTCACCTTGGAGGAGGAGGAGGGAGGAGAGAATAAGGCAGTTTTATCTGAAAAGAAAGTTCATGAGAACAAACCAAGCCTAAAATGTTTCAAGCTATTTGTGAACCACTCTTCTTCCCAACACCAAGGACAACAGAAAATAGGAGCTTGTGGAAACGGCAAATTTAAATGCCAGTGCTGGAGGAAATGTTGACTGTTTGGTGTCCATCTCTTGATTGTGTGCCGCAAACGGCGCCTTCACATCTTACTCACTTGGAGCGTCCCTGTGTGGTGCAAGGGAATTAGGACCGCAGCTCCTGGCCCATGCATTGAACATGGATGCCTACAAAAAGGCAGCTATGTGTGAACTCCTGCATAGGAACTCCATACGATCACAACCACCACCACCCCAATACACACATCATTTTGAGGATAAGCAGCTGTTCATGCAAAGTGTATTTTTGCCAACGCTCACACACAACATGTGTGTCCAAGGAGAGTCCAAGGACTTGGTAGGTTGTCTGCCCTGGTTGTGCATTCCCTGAAGGAGCAGGTGCAGAGTTTGGGGTGCTCCTAGATCCAGCTGGGTCACGGGAGGCACCGGCATCCTCAATGGCTAGGAGTGCCTTTCTTACTAACTTCTATCAGCAAGACAGCTGCAACCGTTACTGGGTCAGGTTAGCTCGACCACAGCTGTCCATGCATTTGTAACCTCACGGTCGGTTTGTGCTCCATGTGCCCTTGGGGTTGGTCTGGGGGCTGCAGCTGGTGCAGAACACAACTTCTATCACCCCCGAGCGATGGTCAAGGGGGCCTGGGGCAGATTGGAATTGTAGCTTGAAACAAGTGGAGCGCACCAAGTTGGGGAAAGTTGATCTACTTCAAAGCAGAACATTAAACACAATGAACCTTCCAACAATTAAAGTACTATAGTCAGCAGAACGACAGATAGCCCCTTTTGCCTTTTACCTGGGTTCTGGCAGAACACACGGATTAATTTGGGAAAGTATTAAAAGTGGACTTTTTTTGTGCGGAACACAGGGAGGAGTAATGAAAGAAGGGGACCTTGAAAGAAGGCATGGCTGCCTGGAACCGTTTACACTGCACAGTTCAGTTCCTATTGTTCATGCCAATCTCCCACCTCCATATTCTAGAAACCTGGCTTCAATTAGCTTACCTGGACAGCTGGATTGTGATTTAGCAGATCCAAGTAAGGGGCCAAGGCGTATGTATTTGACTCCCTAGAAAAACAGTCCCCCTGAGAATGTTTCATATACACTGTCCTGGTATTAACGGTGCACCAAGCCCACCGAAAGGCACTATAGTTAAAGACAGATGCTACGTCTTCAGAAAACAGAGGCTGTAAGGAGAAGAAAAATGGCTGGGACGAAACAAACAGCTCCTGGACCCGTCTTCTTTGCTCAAGGGCTTTTCTTCTTAAGGGCTCAGGGAAAAGGTTCACTGTTTCTTGCTCCAAACAAACAGGACAGCTATATGTTTCGGGTAGGAGATCCAGGTATGGCTTCCACAGAGATTCCTCCTTGCAAGCACACTTTTCTGCTATTAAAAATGTACACAGTGCTGCCAAAGGAGAAATGGGGGGTCTCCATCTAAAGGTAGAAGAAAACATGAGAACCACAAACACTCCTTACTACATTCCTATAGCTTTAAATGACACAGAAAGCTGCTCAGGTAGCATTAAGACTGACTTACGTCACCATCGCCCATGCAAATGCTATGAGTAGGGGCAGCCAGGATGGCACCTTCCAGATGTTGCAGACTTTGTGACTCTCAAATACCCCAGCCAGGATGGCCCCAAAGATCAGGGGTAATGGGAGATGTAGTCCACAGCATCTAGAGGGCACTACATTGACTACTTCCACTCCAGAGCAAGCAAATTAACCAGAGGATCCAGTTTGTCTGTGTGTGATGGATGGGCCTTGGGGTCAACCTCATGAACACCCAGAAGCCAGTCATGGCTGGGCAGAGTGTCAACCACTCAGGAGGCGGTGGAGAGTTAAAAGACGGAAAGTTTAACTGTCAGGTCTTAAACAGGGCTTAGGGTGTGGTAGATTTTAGAAAGGGTTTGGCTGGGAATTAGCTGGGCTTGCTGTAAAAAGACTCAGATGCTTTATGCTGTATAAATATTTCATATTTCATTTAATCAAGGGAAATATTATGTAAGCAGCTGAAGAGGAGAGGACAGAGGGTGAAGGAAGAGCTGACGGGGGGGGGCACTTTTCACATCCTCTGGACCCCCTAGGAAACTCAGCAAACCTGCTGTACAGTCATACCTCATGTTACGTTTGCTTCGCGTTGCAGCTTTTCAGGTTACAAACGCAGCAAACCTGCAAGTGTTTACTTCTGGGTATGCCATGCGCGCATGCGTAGAAGAGATCTGCGTGCTTCGCACACGTGCAGTAGCGGCACTCTACTTAGGGGTTTTTCAGGGTGCGAATAGCACCCCGAAACGGATTGTGTTCGTAAGTAGCGGTACCACTGTACCTGGAATTGGGTGTGGAGTGTGCAACTGAATGGGACATGGCTGTGGGCAGCCTGAGGAAGTACCATCCACCTTGGGCCTGCCCATAAAAAGCAAGCCTAGAGTGAGAGACTAGAGCGATGTCTCTGGCTTCCAGGAACTCTTCTCATTGTGAGACTTTTGTGGGCGAGCCAAGAGTTGGTTTGAACCATGGGTGAGAACCCAGAACCTGAGAGGGAGGAAGTGCCAGAAGGAAAATGAACCGATATTTTTGATTTTTATATATTAGCAACTTTGTTTTCAAATAACATTTTTATATCCAACTGTATTTTTGTAATGCTTTGTTTAAGTCGCCTGTTGTTGGTTCAGTTTTTTTGTACACCACAGAGATATTTTTATTATGTCCTGCAAATATTTTGCAAGAGCATAAATAAAGAGATAGAAACCAAATAAAACCCGATTGGAGTCAACGATTTCTAACCACTTCAGTCTTGTTCATCTGCTTGTACCTTAAGATACAATTCTCTAGCCACTTACCTGAGTGCAAGTCCTACTGAAATCAATGGGGTTTGTTTCTAAGTAGACTATAAGGGCAAGGACATTTGCAGCACATCCTTGCCCATGGCTACTCAGAAGTATGTCCCACTGCATCCAATAGAGCTTACACTCCAAAGTAAGCGTGTGTGAGGCTGCAACCAGTTTTTGTTCTGAAGTAAAATACTTTTCTTCTGCTTCTATTAGTTTTTATTGTTTTGAAAGTTTAGCATATATGCTGATCAATAGTTCTAGAGAAAAAGAAGAAGGGAAAGGGTAATTTTATTTTAAATTTCCAGTACCTTTCCCTTGCTTGTTTTTCCTTATTAGTTATCATTATAAAACTGTTCTGTGCAATACAATCCTATGCATGTTTCTTCAAAAATAAGTCTTGTTTACTGACTAGAGTATATTCCCATGCTGAGTGCATTTAGGGTTGTGGCCTAAATATTTGAATTTCCTGTGGAGATACTTTATTTCACTTTTCTTTTCTTATATGTGTCTTCAAATATATAGCATCAAATAACTTCTCTATCTGCATGGCTATGCTGAAAGCGATGGAAATGATTCTGATAAGAAAAAGTACAGAGTGAGGAATGCTAAGAGTAGATTCAAGGGAGAGCTGGGAATTCTTGATAGACAGAATTCAAAATTGTATTAAGGGATTGTAAACTTACTTTACGATGTATTCTCCAAGGTAGCTGCTAAGGACAGTATCAGTGGTGAGCAAGCATTTTTCAGGCAATGAAATAATCAACTCTTCGGCCTACAATTTTTTAAAAAGAAAGAAATCAGAGTGAACATACTCCCAAATACAATTCGCAGTAAGAAATGTCAAAATGCACAGATAATTAGCACTATTGGGTCAAGAAAAAATATTGCACTGATGAATCCAAGAAAAAATTAGTATGGCCTGTCTGCTCCTTAACAAAAGCATTAACTTCAAAGAGGCTTTTTTTCTTTTCTTTTTTCAAAAGACTGAAAGTTGTCACTTGAAACAAGACAAGCACTGGACACTTTAGATACAGACTATATTACTCAACAGAGTGTTGAAAGATTAGTAGCATTGGCAATAAAGAAATATATTTCTGTTCTGATTAATAGTTGAGTAAAAACCAGATGAACTATACAGTTTTTAATTGGTTGTCAGCACCTTTCTCCAGTTCTTTAGAAGTTATATTTAGCCATGAATGTATGACTTGAAGGTCGAAACTTCTATTCTGATTTTTATTGTGGTCAAACCATTACAAGATTACCTCATTTTTGTTAATTTCACATACTGAGTATTTCTAGCAAATTCACTACTAGGAGTTGACCACCTCCTATGCCAATTATTTCAGAGCAAGTGGTAAATACCAGCTTTTACCACCTGGGGGAGCAAAATCATTCACAATAACTTGTTCCACAACAAAAAACGATGTTAAGAAACTGGCCATACACCAATCTACAAGGCTCAGAAATAATTATTTAAAATTGTTGTTCTGTTTACGCCCCACTTCAGAATTTGATTCTGTGAATCCAGTATAGTCTAGTGCAAAGGCAGCTTTAAGACAAGTTGGTCTATACAGTGGTACCTCGGGTTAAGTACTTAATTCGTCCCGGAGGTCCATTCTTAACCTGAAACTGTTCTTAACCTGAAGCACCACTTTAGCTAATGGGGCCTCCCACTGCCGCTGGAGCACGATTTCTGTTCTCATCCTGAAGCAAAGTTCTTAACCCAAGGTACTATTTCTGGGTTAGCGGAGTCTGTAACCTGAAGCGTATGTAACCTGAAGTGTATGTAACCCAAGGTACCACTGTACTATACACAAGGATACCATGGAGGGGCGTAGAGGGAGGGTCCAGAAGTTGTGCACCAGCCTCTTCTTTGGAATACAAACCTGAAGAGCTTTTGTGGTCATCAATCCTCTTCCTGTCTCTAAAAGACAAAAAAGAGAAAGCTGCAATGAAATTCACTCCTGGTCTCTCCAGAAACTTGCAAATGGTTGTTAACTGGTGGTTCAAGAAAAGAAATGGGGTCGGGGGCAAGAATTCAAAAATGGTTCGTATCTTCACCACCACTAGGTTCCCCAGAGATATGCAGTATTAATTATTTCATTATTTGACTTGTGAAGCACCTCAAGACAATTTGACATTACAAGAAAAGAATGTATAAAACAATTTCATACACATGCATACTGCATATCTAAATAGACTGCTCAGGCCTCGAGGAAACAAGGCAGAAGGAGGGGGAAGAACACAGAAGAGTTTTAGAAAGCATATAATCAGAATTATAAATAGGGCATGGAAGCTCCTGCCTTCAAACTTTTGCCCCGGAAGTATCCCAGCTCTCCCCAGATCACCTGTAGTTTCAAACACAAAGAGAACACTCAAATACAGCTGCATTTTGTCAGAAAAGTATTATATCATTACCTGAAAATTGTGCTGGCCGTAATTTATTATCTTCATAACCTCTTTCTTTCAGCCATTTCTTTAGCAGCACATATTCGTGTTTGTGGCTAAGATTTACTGAAATCATTACAGAGAAATTATCATGCTATGGCATTCTTTCATTAATGCCAATTCACCGAAAGCTTACATGCAAATCACAACACTGGGAAAAAAATGGATGCCATGAAAGTACTTTGGCTTAGCAGAATAAACAGTAGAACTTGGCAGTACAGTAGCAGGACTGCGCTCCTCCCTGATAAAACTATTGTATCAATGTTACCCTATACACAGGAAAAAATAGGGGATAGGAATTCCATCTTCCTACCTGCACTGTACAATGTGCATTGGGGTTCACTAATCACTTAGGCTGCAATCCTTAGCACACCAGACATCAGAGTACATCCAACTGAACGCAGTGAGGCTCACTGCTCAGAAAACATGTACAGGAGCATGTTGTTACACTGTGTTGGCTCAATGGCTTTTATGAACATTAACCCCAGTTGCAATACTGAATTAACTATTCTGCCACACCCCACTCCTAAGCCAGTGTTGTTTTCCCATGTCACTGATAAAAAATTTCAGTAGCAATATGACACCCTGGTTGGTAAGAATGTAGATCGGCTTTCCCCAAGCATTTGCCCTCCAAATGTTTTGTATTACAAATCCGATTAAGTTGTATTGGCTTAGGTTAAACTTCTTCCATTGGGGAAGGCTACAGCAGGTGGCGCTGTGGGTTAAACCACAGAGCCTAGGACTTGCCAATCAGAAGGTCGGTGGTTTGAATCCCCGTGATGGCGTGAGCTCCTGTTGCTCTGTCCCAGCTCCTGCCAACCTAGCAGTTTGAAAGCACATCAAAGTGCAAGTAGATAAATAGGTACCGCTCCGGCGGGAAGGTAAATGGCTTTTCCGTGCACTGCTCTGATTCGCCAGAAGCGGCTTAGTCATGCCGGCCACATGACCCGGAAGCTGTACGCCGGCTCCCTTGGCCAATAAAGCAAGATGAGTGCCGCAACGCCAGAGTCGGTCACGACTGGACCTAAAGGTCAGGGGTCTCTTTGCCTTTACCTAGGCTAAATGATGGAATGCTACATCTCAAAGAATTCATTGGCCCAGCATGTGTTAAGATAGGACTTTAGGTAACTTTGTAACCTTCACTTTTAGACTTTGTTTAGCTTTCCGAGGTTTGAGGGTGCCTTAATAATAAAAGGCCTTGAAACAAACAAGCAAACAAAAACACATTACCACCACATAAAGACAAACTTCTCGATTGTTTTCTTCGCCTCTTTCGACATGTTCGACCTTTACTCTTCTTCATGTTAATCAAAGGCCTTCAGATTCTGTACATCAAATTCTGCATGGAAACAAAATGCATTTCTTACAGTAGGTTTTTTCAGTTGCTATAGATACAAATATGTTTTACACCATGATAATGTTGGGGAAAACTTTCATGGCCAACACACTCATAGATGGCTTAACACAAAAAACATCAAATGTGCAAAGAAACAGGGAACAAAAATCTCATCCTCTTGCATCCACTGAACTAACTCATTTTGGAACAGACCAACAATGGCCGACTAGTTTGCTGGTTGCCTATCTTCATATTGCCAAAACAGAGTCATGAGGGAGGCATTGGTAGGCCACAAGGTTTGAGGAAGTACAAAAAAAAACCACCAAAAAACCCCCACAACTATTGTGGGAGGGAGAGGTTCTAAGGGAGGGGAGGAAAAACAGAAAACAACCAATAAACACAGACTGTGTAAAGCAGGCATGGCCAAACTTGGCCCTCCAGATGTTTTGGGACTACAGTTCCCATCATCCCTGACCACTGGTCCTGTTAGCTAGGGATGAGGAGAGCTGTAGTCCCAAAACATCTGGAGGGCCAAGTTTGGCCGTACCTGGTGTAAAGCATGCACTAAGATCTATCAGAGTGGGCTTAAAAGTTCCATACTGTATTAAGTTGTTCTCTAAAAATCTGCCCCAAGTTAAGATATACTGCAGAGTAGTTCATCACATATTTGGTGACAGCTGCACTGCATGTGGGTTTACTGTCAGCAAAAATATTGTTTCCAACCATAATTGTATTTCCAAAACTAATTTCCAAACATATAAAATGAGACTATTCTTCAGGACGGCTAGCTCTTGACACCAAATACCAGCTGCTGGGGGACAAAAGCAGGACAGGGTTTTGGCCTTTAACCCCTACTTGTAGGATTGAAAGGGGGCAACTGACAGGCCACTGTAGAAAGGAGAACTAGAGACAGCCTTTGTCTGAGGACTCTTATGTTGATAACCATTATTGGGGGGGGGATCCATAAATATGGGGGTGGGGGTGTTACAAAGAAGCAGAAGCAAATCCTCATTTACTATTCCCTCATTTCACTACGATCATAAACACACGAAGACCAGTCCTATATATTATATAACAGTGCTTTTTTCTATTAAGGAAAAAGTTTAGGTACTCTCATTTTGACTCAAGAGAATCACCATTTTATAGTTCAAATCGGCGGAAATAAATACAGTACATGGACAAAAGTACAGCGATTCACAAAATGTTTACCCCTGCGTGTTCCCAGGAAAAAAAGCACTGCATGCAAAAGAGCTCCCGCCTATGTAGAAACAGCTCATGGCCAAGGCAGCAACACAGAGCGACGCAGCCACCCGGACGTCTGCAGAGACGTCTGCATTGGGATTTGCTGCCTCCCTAAGGAACAAGCTGCGCGGATCTCAGCGCACCGGCATCTCCACTCACCGAGCTCCCCGCAGCCCCACGCGCCCCTTAGCGGTCGCCGCGCTTCTCCCTTTGGCTGCCACCGCCCCCAAACTCTCGCGGGCTCCTTTCCCAGGCTGCAAGGGGCCGGAAGAGGCAGGCCTTGTCCTTCCACGGCAGCCGCCTGTCGGCCAATCCCCTGGCGATTCGAGAGAAAGGGTCGAACGAGCGCCGCTTCCCATTGGGCGGAGACTAAAAAGACGCACGCTTTCCTCCTTTCACCCCACCAGCTGCGTCGTCCGTTCTGGGGATCCCCGCTTAGAACAGGCGCAGCTCTTTAAGGCGCCTCCACCCGATATAGTTGGAAGTCGAGCAGCTTTGCAGCAGCCTAAGTTTCCGCAAAGGTCTTTCGCGCTAAATCCTACATTATAACGTTTGTTTTCCTAACCTGTAGCCGCGCAGCGACGCTAAGGAATTTATTTGGACCGCACTTGTCGCTGGGTGGTGTTGGCGCCTCTGGATCCTAATGCATTCAGCGAGTGCGCGGGTTATATGCGGGGTGCGGCTACTGGGAAGGCTGCAGCCGGACGATTGTGCTCTGCTCTAGGGAGCATTTTGCAGAACTGCCCTTGTTCATTTTTCTGAGCTGCTCTAGGGTGCAGCGTCACGGTAGGGAGTGGCTTGTAGCTGTACAGTAACGCGAGAAGTTCCCTTGGGGAAGTCCAGCCAGATGGGCGGGGTATAAATAATAAATTGTTATTTTTATTATTATTGACCCTGAACCTTCTTTCTTTGTAGTCAGCTATCTGTTCTATGTTTCGAGTTACGCCACTGAGAGATGTGCTTCTGACCAGAATGGGTGCAAAGTGATAACACTAGAAAGCATGTTGCCAGCTTCGTGCTTTCGGCTTCCTTCCCCTCCTGCATTGCACGACTGCATTTGTAACTGAAAGGTCTTTTTCTTCCCCCTTCGTTGGGCCTCCCTGTTCACGCTTAGGTTACCCCGTTGCAAGGTTATGGCGCTCTAAAGCGGTGCTTCCCAAACTTTTGGGGGCCACTGCTATCTTGGTTGTATAAACACATCCTCAATGCGCACTGCCCTACGCTGTGAAAAGCATTTTTTCAGAAGAGCGGTTTGCACGACCCACTAAGGAAGATAACACAGTAAAACTCAAACCAGTAAAAATAAATAGCATATTAATTGAAAAGCTAATCCAAACTAGTTTAATTAATTCAACAAAGTGGATGAAGATGCAGTGATGCCAGTATGATAGTCGTTTACACCTCCAGTGCCACCCCTGCCACCCGCTTGTCTCTTTGCACCCCCCCCCATAGGTACAGCCCACTTTGGAAACCACTAATTTGAAGTGTAGATGGGTTTAATGTTGACTCATTCAGTGCCATGGCTAAACTCTGCTTTGGCTCATAACTGGTGCCATGGCTTACAATGCAAACAAGCAGCCCAATGCAGTTTTCTTGAAGCACAGTCCTGTGCCTGTCTACTCAGAAGCAAGGCCCATTCAGTTCAGTAAGACTTACATCTAGGTAGGTGTTATAAGATTGCAACTTGGGACTCTGCATAGGTTCCAAAGTGGTGTACCAGCTTATTTTTTAGCTTTTCAAGCAGCTTACAAGGGGTAATTTATAGAACCAAAATCACACAAAATTAAAATAAAAGCCATTCAATGCTATTGTGGCAAAAGGTTTGATAGAATCTTTTTAGCAGTGAATAAATTAACCATCTCATTCTTTTTGATATTAATGTTCCTTTTGAGTTACTTTGAAATTTGCTTGGCAGGGAGAATGTCTAGTACTCCAGTAGCTGTGGTGACTGGGTCCAACAAAGGCATTGGGCTGGCCATCGTGCGGGCTCTATGCAAGAAGTTCACTGGGGATGTTTACCTAACAGCCCGGGACATCCAGCGGGGCAAGGAGGCAGTGGCCAAGCTTCAAGAAGAAGGGCTGAAGCCACAGTTCCACCAGCTGGACATCACTGATCTGCAGAGTATTCAAACCCTCCGTGATTTCTTGAAGGAGAAGTATGGAGGATTAAATGTGCTGGTCAACAATGCAGGGATTGCTTTCAAAGGTAAAATACATTTATAGTCTTTGGCTGCAATCATGCAGTCTGGCTGCAAGTTAACTCTGCTTCAGGCTCCAGCTTTTGTCATTTTCTCTCTTGCTAGGAAGAATTGTCCAGAGTAATAGGCAGAGCATTTCTAATTGTCAGCCGCAGAGTGTGGTGGAGCAGTATAGCCATACCCACAGTGCTTCTGTTCATGTAGGCTGGGATAGAAGTTGAGGGGAGCAGGGGAAAAGTCTAAACTGGCATAGGAATCAGGTCCAGTGCCATATAGTGATGGGAGAGGCACTGGATCCTGGTCCGACTCAGCCCCATCACTAGTGAGGCTTTTTGTGGGACATCAGCTGTGGGAATCCTGTCAGTGGTACTTCCAGTGGGCTGATTGGAAAGCTCTGTGCTGGAAGAGAGAGGCTGGTGCCGTATCAAGGGCAGAGGCTGGCCGAGCTGTTTTGGATCAGGTGGACCTCTGCTTCAGCCAAACCCCCTTCTTCCCCCAGTGCGTCAGATGTGAGAAGGGGGTTGGATTGCAACTTAAGGTTCTCTAGCTTCTGCTACTTGAAATACGCTTTTTGATGAGATCGCAGTTGACACATTAAATCATTTTAGATTCGATTTTTAAAAGTTCATTTAAAGCCTCACTGAGACATTTCCTAACAATGGTGATTGGAAACTGTATTTTGGCATAATGTATGTCATTTGCTGTGCTTACTAATAAAACCTAGTTAAGTATTATTGTGTGATCACCTTTCCAGTTCACTTTTGGGTGGACGCCTTCTAATACTTTAATTGTAATGGTGTGCCATATCATCTGGATATAGTATTTTTTCTTATAAACTATTTATTTGTTTTATTGATGTTTAATCTCACCCTTTAAAAAGAAACTTTTCTAATGAATATTCAAAATAACTCTAAGCTAATGAAGGAACAAAGTTTATATTTTCATAATGTCCATTCTGATTTTTGTTTGCTTTCTCCCTGCCATCTGGCAAAAAGTTGCAGATACAACTCCATTTGCTATACAAGCAGAAGTCACACTGCGAACAAACTTTTTTGCAACGAGGGATATTTGCAGAGAATTGCTACCACTGATGAAACCTAATGGTAAGTGCTCCACACTGACTTCAGGGGAAAATACATTAAGATTTAGACTGTAACCCTATGCACACTTACCTGGGATCAAGGCCTATTGAACTCAACATGAGGTGGGGTGGAGGCAACAAGCTTAACTAAGGCTAGTTTCTTCTCCTTAACGTTTTCCCTTTTAATAGGCAGAGTGGTGAACGTATCTAGCATGTGCGGGGCTTCAGCATTGTCCCAATGCAGCCAAGACTTGCAGCAGAAGTTTCGGAGTGACACAATCACTGAAGAGGAACTAGTGAAACTCATGGAAAAATTTGTAGAAGACACCAAGAAGGGAGTGCATGAGAAGGAGGGTTGGCCAAGTACAGCTTATGGCGTGTCCAAAACCGGATTAACGGTTCTGTCCAGAATTCAGGCAAGGCAGCTGAATGAGACGAGGAAAGGTGATGGTATTCTCCTGAATGCCTGCTGCCCTGGGTGGGTCAGGACTGACATGGCAGGTCCCAGAGCCCCAAAATCTCCTGATGAGGGAGCTGAGACTCCAGTGTATTTGGCCCTTTTGCCCCCGGGAGCCGATGAGCCCCACGGGCAGTATGTTAGTGAAAAGAAAGTGCAGAAGTGGTAGTTGTTCAGTGTACACTGAATAATGCATTTGCATTGTTACTACTAACTTGATTACTAGCAGTAATAATGCAAATGCAGACGTGGGCTCTTCCACTGGGATCTGCTGTAACAGTCGTGGCAGGCTCCCATGCAAGGGAAGAAAGTGTTTCATAAATGCATCATATTGTCTGTTAAGCGCCTGTGCAAATAACTATTTTGGTTTGGTGTGTGCATGTGGCAGTTTGTGAGCATCTTTTTGCTACATTTGCTCTTCCCCGGATTTGGGAAGCTGTCTTGGCTTAATATGTATTTTCCAGCTATTTTGAATTATTTTTGTTTCACAATGAGTGAAAACCATTTGCTTTTTGAATTTTAAATTGTGTATACATGATTTTCTCTCTTGTGCAAGGCTGTTTTATTTAATACAGAAATCAAGCCATTACAGCCTTTACTGCAAATATGAATGCATGAAATCAGTAAAATGAACATGATGGCTTATCAAATATAATTTGGGCTGCTGTTGTGGGGAGGGTGCACGTGGGCTGTATAAAGAGAACAAATTTGCACTCTTATACCCCTAGAAATAATTCACTCCACTGTTAGCATGGTGGGGCATATCCTCCAAGATCAGGAAAACACGAAGGATCATTTTTATACATTATATAAGTGTTAGAAAATAAAAGTTGAATACTTTCTCTGTAAAAGGATCTCTTAACACCCGTACAAATGAAACTGAAACTAATATTCATGGATCTTTGTTTTTGATTAATAAAAACATCTTCTAAACAATGTACATGCATGCAATTTTCATATGTTTGATGATAAAGCACATATTTAAAAATAAAAGGCTTGACCATGTTTACCTCTGGGTTGTTGGGTTTTTTTTGTTATATTTTATAACAAAAAAGCAGAAGGGGAGAAATGCACTTATCCTGTATTATATTATATTGTATTGTTTTTAACAATGGGAGAAATTGTGTTTTCTACATATAAATGATCTTATGAATGCCATATTATACAGAGCCGTCTCAGTGACAATAGAAACACTACATGTGGGAATAATTTCACCAGCAGTGCTGTACCTTCTTCTCCTGCTCAGTGCCAATAGACTGCAATGATTTTTTAAAAACCAATAATACTCCGGCATTAATTTTTGAATAATTGATTAATTTTAATTTTGAATCTTGATAAGCTGACCTATCATCATATACAGTATGCTCATAGGAATCACTTCTCCAAGTACTTGCCAAAACAGTACCATCCACACACAAGAAATAAGTAGCAGTTAGCTTGGGGAAAACATAAGATTTGCAAAAGTGGGCTGGGGTGGGGGGGCTCAGTGGAGAAAATAGCCCAATGGGAACTTAAGTGGACATAATGCTGACATAATGGAGGTGGGGACTAGAATCCTGAAGTGGAATAGTCCATATGGCAACATTTAGCTGCAGATCCCACTTCCCAAGCAATGAAATGCAGGAGCATGTTTTGTTCGTTTTGGTAAGCCTCCTTTTCTAGACTAATTTGGCAGCCCCACCTGCCCTCCTTTCTTACACACAGCCAGGGGCTGACTGGACCTGTGACTGGCTTTGACCCTACTGCTGGGCTCCATGATCACTGCAGATGCTGACAGCAGTCCAAAATTAAAAGATGCCTGCTCCTTGGGAGAAAAGCGATGACAAACCTAGACAGCATCTTAAAAAGCAGAGACATCACCTTGCCAACAAAGGTCCGTATAGTTAAATCTATGGTTTTCCCAGTAGTGATGTATGGAAGTGAGAGCAGGACCATAAAGAAGGCTGATCACCAATGAATTGATGCTTTTGAATTATGGTGCTGGAGGAGACTCTTGAGAGTCCCATGGACTGCAAGAAGATCAAACCTATGCATTCTG